TTCTTGCAAGCATAGATTAGATGGTTTAGCTACTGATTTTATCTTCTTATGTGTTCAAATATTCTCCATTGTTTGAAACAATCATGCATGGGGGTAAAATGAGATAAGGTTGGTTCACTTTTATTTGAAACTTATATCTTCTTCACTGTTTCAAATTTTATGGAATGTAAAATGCTCTAATAAATTGAAAATAACTTGTATTTAAAATCTATTTGTACTGGAAGTATATATAAGTGTTTTATACACGTGTAAAATTTTATAAAATCATTGGACACCATTTCGATACCAAAGTAAATATTTGTCGTAAGTGTTGTTTACAACACAGCAGAAACAGTGAATTCAAACAGGTCTCATTCTCTCTACAAATGGTGTTTTTTTTCACAACCACTTGGGATAGTTAGATATAAGAGTTATATTTCATTTTCCACTTATTTCACAAAAAATGGATAAGTCTAAAAGGAGAAATTGTAGTTTTACTAAAATGCGACAGAATCTGTCTAATTTTCTTAGAAAAATTATTTGACCATCTTCCATTGGTTTTTAGTCTTCAAACTCTTCTGTAAATATGTTTTAAACTCAAATATCTAGCAATTCTTTTGACCATACCTCTTTTTGACACCGTTTGAGGCCCCTTTTTATTTTTCAAACACAGATCACCTGCGTTGGAAGTTGCTGCAGCTCACTGTCCCAAAAACCAATTTTCTTCCAAATTTTATTTCTCCATTTTAAAATTGTTTTTAGTCCTGGTATTCTCTCGAAATATTTTCCTAACTCAATGAACTAGCACCAGTTAAAATATTGTAATAATTGAACTTCGTTTGGTATGGGTTTCATTATTTTTAGTCCGACCATACAATGCTGAAAAGAAGATGTGTGAAATTCTAAGAAATTTTGTGATGACTCTTAAGACATTCTATAATATTTATTTTGATTTCCATACATGGTTGTGTTGTGCTATATAAACCTTATGTCACTGTGGTTTTCAAACTAAAACTCGCACATGCATCAAAATGTAAATTCAACAAAGTAAAGAAACACGAAATTGAACTGATGCATTAAAGTTTAAAAGTGACGGGGTGAGCTCAGTTTAGAGTCTTGTGCAAGTGAGTTGCGAACCCTAACATGGCACGAGAAGGTATTTCGGCTCTTATCAGTATAGACGATATAAGGTTGATGGGGCAGGTGTCACAACATAGACCGTTCCCTTGGGGCAGACTATGATGTCACGACTCGGGTACGTAACCTTTGTACGTGGGCATTATTAGTAGTTACAGCAAGTAACATTTGAATATTTGACCAAGGGGGAGTTAGAATTGCTCATGGCCATTGCTTAGCGGTTGAGTGGAAATAGTGCTCCGCGAAGAGTTACTTAGACTTACCTAATAAACTAAACCTATGTGAATTTAAAAGAAAAGTTGGCATTTTCCTTATGATGAATTACTTCTCCCGCTTGCCATTGTTCTTATTATCTATTGCTATTATTTCAACTAATAACATTCATGTTATGCTTATTAAACGTTGCTTGTTACTCTGCTACTATACAATATTCATTAATTGTGAGTATTATTATCGGGGTGGATATTTTCGGGTTGTAGTATCTTATTGAGCTCGTCACTCATTGGCATTCTCGTTGCCCTGGCATTTGATGCCAAGTACCGAAGAAACCGAAGGAAACACCGAGGTCTTAGAAGACAACATTCAGCCTTGGTTAGCTTGAAGTGTGCCCAAGTTTCATGAACCCTTTTTCTAAATTTTCTAGTTTTTCTCTAGTTTTTTTGTGCGTGTGTGTGTGTGTGTCTAAGACTGAGCTTTAAGTTTGATTGGAGTTGTAATTTAAGAACTTTTAATTTATGTGTTGTTAATTAATGGATGAAGGTAAACTTGGTGGCAACAATGATTAAAAGTTCTTAATTAAGAAAATTAATTAAACCTTATTATGATGTTCTCAAATTTTGGGGCATCATAACGCATTCATCAGACTTCGCAGCGTCTTCTATCCAAGACAGAAAAAGTCACAAGTTGAAGAGGGTGACACCCAACCCTCGAGTAAAGATTTGTTATCGATATCAATATTCGATAAAAGAGCAATGTACAATGACATTGTAATATCTACCAAGGATTTCGATGCCAAACATTGCATTGGAAAATGAGGATATGGATCAGTCTACAAAGCGAAGTTATTGTCAGCTAATATAATAGTTGTGAAGAAACTTCATCCGTTATCTGAGAGGACAGATCGAAAAGATTTCTTAAATGAAGTAAGGGCATTAACAAAAATTAAGCATCGAAACATAATGAAGCTTTTTGGGTTTTCTTAACATGTTTGACACTCTTTTCTAGTTTATAAGTACCTTTGGCCTCAATTTTCAACAAAGATGAAGAAGCTAAAGAATTGGATTGGCCTAAAATGGTGAATATTATTAAGGGTGTGGCAAGCACTTTGTCATACATGCACCATGATTGCACACCGGCCATTGCTCACCGAGAGATTTCCAGCAACAATGTCTTTATTGATGAGGATTACGAGGCTCGCGTTTCAGACTTTGGCACTGCCAAGCTTTTGAAGCTAGATTTCTCTAACTAGAGTGCATTTGCAAGCACATACAGATATGTTGCACCAGGTAAACATAGTTTTAAGATCTAAATTGATATAGAATCTAAAGTGTAACAAAATAAGTGCATGATCATGTCTTTTTTTTTTCTTTTTTTTTTTAGCTGCAAAGCTTGCTTGCACAATGAAGGTAGCTGAAAAGTGTGACGTTTATAGCTTTGGTGTGTTAGCACTAGAAGTGATCAAAGGAAAGCATCTGGGAGACTTCATCACCTCACTATTGACCCCAGCTGTTGAGAACATACATATTTTTAACGTTCGTCTACATTAATGATAAGAAAATTATTTTATCCTTATTTTTTTGGATAAATTACGCCGACACTCCCTCTTTTTAAAAATTATCATTGTCACCCATTTTAATCCTTAAAACTACACTAACATCCCTTGTTAATTGACTTCGATAAATGCAATGGTTAAATGACTATAATATTCTTGTAGATTAGTCAAATTTCATCTATCAAACACTACCTCAACTTCACTTAGGGTTGATTTGAGAAGTGTTTTTTTTTTTTTTTGTCAGCTTTTTGACTAAAATGTGAGATGAAAAAAAAAATATTTTGGAATAAATTTTTATCTTTTTACGAAAAATGTGTTAAAATAGAGGTAATGTGAATAAATATATTTTTTTTATAACTTTTTGAATTTTTAACATTTTTAATAATTTTTTGACTTTTTAATCATATTAGCCTCATTCGAAACGACCCCTTATTCACTTTCAATGTATATATGATGTCATGATTCGGGATTTGAGTTACTACCCATAAAAGAGAGAGAAATGAGAAAGATGTTGTTTATGGTGATAGAGTAAAATAGGATATATATTCAAGGTAATAAATAGGATATATAGGAATCGAACCGTGACGTAATAAATATATTAAAATTATATTTAAATAAAAATATAAGTAATAAAATTAAAAATTAAAAATATTAAAAATATTAAATTATCTTAAATATTTGTCCTAATATTTTTTTTACTGAAAAATATAATAATATATTTTAAAATATTATTAATTTCAATTTTGGAAGATGAAATCAAATATTTAATATTCCCTCCATATGATTTTAATTCAAATAATTTGATTGAAAGGAAAGCAAAAATTTTGGAGGGATATCAAAATTTCAATATTCCCTCCAATACATTTGATTGAATCCCACATGGATTTCTTGAGTTTTTTTGAAAGAGTTTTTTTCTTATAAATAGGTGAAGACTTTCACAATAATTTCATCAAACTCTTAATGGGATTCCTCACAAGAGGAGACCCTTGAAAAAGAGTTTCAAATTAAAATTTTCTTATATTCTTATATTTTATATATATATATATATATATAAAATAAGAAAGAAAGAAAAGAAAGAAAATAAAAAAAAAACAAAGAAAAAATGAAAAAAAAAATTTGATTTACATTTGGCCGGTTTAAGGGGGCTGACCGGACCGGAACCCTATCCGGTCACCGGTTCAACCGGTTGAACCGGCCGGTCCGGTCCGGTTTTTAAAACCATGCATGTGGCATAACATAATCGAAACTAAGATCAAATTGATTCAAATTGACAATTTTAAAAATCAAATTGACAAAATTGAAATTAACAAGGGACTAAAATGACAAATAATGAAAACTAAAACCGTCTTTTATCTATATTGTTCATGTTATCAATATAGGCAAACATTAGAGTGGACCAAATTGACAATTTTGAAGACAAACCATATTTTTGTAATTATTTTTTTAAGTTTTCAGTGTAGTTACTTTAAGGGTAAATTACAATTACACCCCTTGAGATTTGTTTAAAGTACAAATTGTCCTTTATGATTTGAAAAATTACAAATACTCCCTTATTAGAATTTTTTATTTAACAGAATTAACTAAAAAAATGAAATTCATAATTGTTTTTCTATATAATAATAAAATTATCTAAATTATTAATTGAAACATATTTCTAACATCATTAAAAACTGTTAATTGACTTAATGATTTATTAATAAAATGAGCGATTTGTTATGAAATTAGAAACTCAAGGTGGAATGTAATTTTTAGAATCACATAGGACAATTCGTATTTTAATCAAATATCAGTGAGTGTATTTATAATTTACCCTTATTTTAAATCCTCACCCTTTTACAATTTTTTTCTTCAAATTTTCCTAAATATAATGTGTTTTTATTTTTGTTTTTGTTTTTGTTTTTGTTTGTTTTTTAAATAGTACCAAATTAATTTTTGAAAACGGATTAAGATTCCCTCAAAACTCTCACCCCCACACTCACGTGGGGTTGGGGATTGCAAAAAAATAATAATAAAAAAAAATAAGAAAATAAAAAATAAAAAACCAATCAAAAATAAAAAGGGTCAAAAGAAAAAAATGGTCTTAAACATTTTTATTAATTTTTAATATTTTTTCAAAAAATTCGGAAATCTCAACGGTTAACCAATTCACACCCAGAAATCTCTTCTTCTCAGAGAAAACCCAAAAAAACCAAACACCAAATCCAAACTCATTGAATCTCTCTCTATCTCCTCTACAACCCACAATCCCAAACTAGGGTTAGGGTTTTCAAAATGGGGAAAGAAGGAGCTCTTAGCGATGGCGTATTGAAGAAGATCATACTATCCTACACCTACGTCTTCATATGGATCTTCCTCAGCTTCACTGTCATCGTCTACAACAAGTACATCCTCGATCGCAAGATGTACAATTGGCCATTCCCAATCTCCCTCACCATGATCCACATGGGTTTCTGTTCTTCCCTCGCCTATCTCCTCATCCGCGTCTTCAATCTCGTCGAACCAGTCTCCATGTCTCGCGAGCTCTTCTTCACCTCCGTCGTCCCAATCGGAGCTCTCTATTCATTCAGTCTCTGGTTCTCCAATTCCGCCTATATTTATCTCTCTGTATCATTCATTCAAATGCTCAAAGCCCTAATGCCCGTGGCGGTGTATTCAATCGGGGTTCTATTGAAGAAAGACAATTTCAAGTCCGATACAATGGCGAACATGGTTTCGATCTCGATCGGGGTCGCGATCGCTGCTTATGGCGAGGCTAGATTCGATGTCTGGGGAGTGGTTCTTCAGCTTGGGGCTGTGGCGTTTGAAGCGACTCGATTGGTGATGATCCAGATTCTCTTGACTTCAAAGGGTATTTCTTTGAATCCAATCACTTCTCTATATTATGTTGCACCGTGTTGCTTGGTTTTCTTGTTTGTGCCATGGATTTTTGTGGAATTTCCATTGTTGAGGGAGACATCGAGCTTTCATTTGGATTATTTGATCTTTGGGACCAATTCGGTTTGTGCTTTCGCGCTGAATTTAGCGGTGTTTTTGCTTGTTGGGAAGACGTCGGCGTTGACTATGAATGTGGCTGGGGTTGTGAAGGATTGGTTGTTGATTGCGTTTTCGTGGTCGGTGATTAAGGACACCGTGACGCCTGTGAATTTGGTTGGATATGGAGTTGCGTTCTTGGGTGTTGCGTATTATAATCATTCGAAGTTGCAGGCTCTTAAGGCGAAGGAGGCGCTGAAGAGGGTGGCGCAGCCGGATGAGGATAAGGAGGCTGGGAGGTTGTTGGAGGAGAGAGAAGGGGAAGGTGGCAGGAGGAAGAACGAGTCCCAGACTTGACTTGTTAGCCAATTTGAATTGAACAAAACGTTCACAGAATCTGATCACAGAACTGGACTTATGTGATCCGATTCTATGCACATAGAAGAATTGAATTGAGTTTTTTTATCACAAGATGGGAAGGAATTAAAGATGAAATGAGGGGTTTCAACAACCAATGGGAGATGAAAAACCTAACATTTGGATTCAATTGCTCTTGAAGTTTTGTTTTGGGTATGCCGCCTTAGGAATTTTTATATTTATTATTGTTTTGTTTTGTTTGATGTTCATGTTGTTCATTGTCACTTCATGCTATTGGGTTTTGAGGTCAATGTCTATGTGGTGCCAATTCATGTTTGTGACTAGAGAAAGATTTTTTAGAGTTCTTTGTTTTCTCTTTTGATAAATTATGCATGATGAGTTCAAACTCATTTTTTTGGAGGATGAATACTGATTCTTATCTATCTATTGTTCACTTGAGTAACTATTTTATTGTTCATTGTATCTTTTGTCCGTTGATTCTATTCTTATTCAAAATTTGGCAAATTTCGCATTTCAATTGTTGGAAACACAATGATATGAAATGGGCATTGTGAGTTCAACAAAAAGAATGTATGCAAGTTCAACACATGGACTCATGTGTCGTTCCATGCCATGACGACGTGTGATTTATTAATCAAAAAAATATTTCAAAAATTATATTTACCCTTACAATCAGAAGACCCATAACTGCACAATATTTCTGTTTCTAAGAAAACATCATTGACAAGAAGTTGGTTCCCCTAGACATGCCGGAAAGCTTTTGAAAACCCCATTGCTGCACTTCTAAAAAACAGTCACAAGTTGACATTAACATCTATTTCTCTCATTTACATTCCAGATTAATTTACATAACTCCAACTTCAAAAGAACCAAATTTTCATTTTATAAAAAAGAAACTGATCAATCTATACCACAGAGCTTTGCATGAAAACAATCATACCCATTTTTAAAAATCCCAAAAACTATAAACAAAACTTCAAATCATATCAAACCCTATGACAAATAAGACCATGAAAACACTTGAATCAGAAGACGTACGAGAGAGAGGGACGGTGCCAAACTGAGTGTTAAGCTTTAATGGACAAAGGTCATCTCAGTGGCGGCAATTGACCAATATGGTGGGTTTTGGGTTTGAACAGGGTGGAGAGAGATGGAGAGGAAGGAAGAGGGATAACAGCGTCGAAGGAAGAAAAATAGCGCATATAGAAGGATAATCTTATAATTCAAGATGTTGTCACGTCAATGAGCTTTGCAAAGTTGGTCTGCAAAGTCAGTTTACATATCATTATCCTTCAATACATATTGACCACTATGGTGGGTTTTGGGTTTCAACGGGCAGAGAGAGAGAGGGGAAAGAAATAACTACATGAAAAGCACAGAGAGTGTGTATAGAAAGGATAATTTTGTAATTCAGTATGTCGACACTGCAAAGTCAGTTTACATATAATTTCCTTTAATGTATTACATGTTGTGTCAATTTTGCAGCAATAAGAATGAATTCAATTCTCTCACAAGTCACAACAGACAATGCTAGGTATTTAGAGTATAAAACGATGATTGTCAAAATTTTCTTCTGTTTGAAATAATTTTTCTTGTCATTTGGATTTTGTTCCATAATAGACAAATTGTGGATCAATATTTCTATTTGAAGATTTAGCATTAATTGCTTTTGGATCCTCGGCTCAAATACAACAGAAACATTTTTGTAATAAGATTGGTTGTAAATACCCACATTGTGTGTATGTTTTATATACCTTCATCCCTGACTTACCTATTCTTTCAAACACTAACTCTATCCCAACCACCATCTCGAACTACCTTCATCCCTGACTTACCTATTCTTTCAAACACTAACTCTATCGCAATCACCATCTCGAACTGACATTGCTGCCACCTTTAGTCGCCAACCCCTAGGCCCCCCATCCCATTGGCGTTCTTGGGTGTTGCGTATTATAATCATTCGAAGTTGCAGGCTCTTAAGGCGAAGGAGGCTCGCACTGTAAACCCCTTTTCCCCACCACTGAAACCAACAACAAACCACCCCCCTCCACCGCACAACCCCTCCTCCCACACTTTCTACACCCCTAAGTGTGTGAGAGAGAGAGAGAGACCAGAGCTATGTTTGGTTGTGTTCTGTAAATGTAATTCCACCCCTCCATTTGCATTTCATGTGTTGATAGTCTTCAAAATGTAATTCTCCTTCCCGTTTGGCAGATTTCTCTCTGTTTCGTCTTCTCCACTCTGAAAAGCTTCCCAACGTACATATTCTCTCTCTTTGGTCTTCTCCATTTCTAAAAAGCTTCATGTGCAAAGAAATTTAAAGCTGAAGATGCTTCATGGGTCGTCTTCCTCTCTTTGAACTGAACTCTGATCTTCAAATCCAAACTATGCCGGTGAATCGATTGCTTTCCACTCATAAATTTGCATCGACCAGCTCTCACAAATCAACTGACTTTCACTTTGTGAGTTGTGGTCGATTCACTCTCCGGGCAACGAAGCAACGACCACAAAGAGGTAAAGTAGATCAGAAATTTCTTTCAAAATATATATAGGTTCTACATACAACTCATTAATTTTCTACTTCATCCCCAAATTTATTTGTCTCAGCCCAAATTTGTGAAGCGTTTTCTCAAATCAGACGGCTACCGAAGAAGCGCACATCCACCCACTGTACCTACTCCGTCACCGGTGACAACTATTCAACTCCTACTGCTCTAGTACGTATATCCTTCAATTGATCTGGTGTGGAATAACTGAAAAGGAGGAATGAGTTCTCTGATCTGGGCAAAAGTGGCTGAGCCGGTTGTCCACCCAGACTTTCGGCCAGTCAACCGCCACTCCACCTTTTCCTACTTCTCGGTAAATCGCCATTCACCCTTTTGTTTGATCTCTTCTTCTGCTCTCCTTCTGCTTTCTTATACTGTGGAAACTTCGATGGAGCAACACTCTTTAGCAATGGATTTGCTATTAATATTTTGTTCTTCTTCTTTATCTGCTTTTTCCGAACACTCTTTAACAACTTGAATTAATTAATCATCATTTATCATATTTGAATTGAAACAGAATTGATACATAGTTCTTGCATGGTTATTGGAAACTGAGGTTCTATGAATAAATTATTCTTAGGACTTATGCACAAGTTGTACAAGGTCTTGTTATTTTTCAATAGCCACGTAAGCTTAGTTTACATATAAATTGAGTGTTATCAGATGGATAGCAACAATTCAGATGATAATCAAGAAACAAAAATGTGGAGCTTCATAATTGAATTAAAGCTAATTAACATGTTGAGAGAAGAGGTACAAAAAAACCAAACAAAAGGTCGTAATACTGTCTAGACAGCTAGGCATTGGTCCTATTTTGCAACTGAGTTGCAAAATCTGTATGGGTTCCAATACACACCAAAATGGGTGAGACAAAAATATCAGGGACAGAAAGCTAATTACGTAACTTTCAAGCGACTTCAGGCATAGACTGGTCTAGGATGGGCTCCGATTGTAGAAACGATTATTGCACCTGATGATTTTTGGGATAAAGTATTGAATTAACCTATGCCATTTTTTCAAATTTTTTTGTAAAATTTTGTCACACGTACAATACGCTTATTTTCAAATTTTTCAATTGGAGGTAGGCAACAAAAAATGTAAAGAAATTCAGGACGAAAAGATTTTAGTATTTTGACAAAATGGCAGAAATTGTTGAACACTACTATGCCACAAGGGCCTTGGCCCGTGCATTCACACAAGGAGCCCTTGACTCTGATGAAGAAAACGGTATGCTTAACAAATTTTTGTCTCCTGGAGCCGGTAGGAGCAATGCAGCTGAAGTCATTACAGTTGAATCATTTGGAGATGAGTACATAGAAACATTTCTAGGCAAAAATCACAAGAGGGGCCATATCCATAGCTAGAGTGATAGTGGTTGTTCTAAAAAGTCACGGTCAAGTGGCTTTGATGATGTATGCGCAAGCTTTCACTACCTATGTACAGGCAAAGACGGAATAGTCCCGTGCACGATCAATAGCCATGGAGGTTGTAAACGCAGGTGGTGATAACTATTCCATTGATGTATGTCAAGATGTTCTACTTGAGCTTGGGGACATATCACCGGCCCTGCCCTCTATTCAAAGATAAGAAATGCAAAGGTTTTTTGTGATGCGCACTCTTGTGCATATGCGCCTATCAATGATCATAACTTTGTAGTCAACTGTGAAGCTGTGTCTTTGATGAAACTTTTGCCTACATATAAATAATATTTGTAAGAGTTCCATGACCGTCACTATTCTAAACCTAAAATGATATTCTAAATCATGAATTTGTAAATTATGAAATTAATTGAAGTAGGTGATGGAATGTTGTAACTGATGGAGGAAAGTAGTGGAGGTGGTTGTATGTTTAATGAAGTTTTTGGTTATTTTGAAGTGTAAATGATGAAGGTAAATGAAAATGGTGAAGTTGTTGATTGTCCGGCCTCTAGCATGCACATCCCAGGAAATTGATAAAAATCAACAAATAAAAAAATTCGAACAAAATTGAATTGTGTGCGGTAAACTGCATAGATGTTAACAAAATGATATTCTAATTTTTGTAAGACTCCAACATAGATAATACTTGATAAAATTTTTGGCCATTCATTTGAAAATAACAATACAATAAATAGCAAATAATTTGTGACAGTAATTATTAAAAATATAAAAATATTTTAACTGAAAAATATTTTAAAAAAATTTCGAACAAAATATACAATTAAAAGTTATTTTAAATCAGTAATTAAATATTTATTTTGAAAAAAAAAATTATTTCCTTTATAATATTTTCAATTAAAAATTTTGATTAATGTTATTTTCTGTTAATAATTAATTTTTTTAATTAAATTTTAAAAAAAGTTTGGTTATGAATATTATTCAGAATTTTCAATAGAATTTTGAATAGTATGTTTGGTGAAGAGTTATAACAATTTGAATTAAGTTTTGAAAAAAATTTCTAAAACTCATAACCAAACAAATTTTTTTATTTCACATGTCACATCAAACATTAAAAACTAAAATCAACGCTCAACTCAAAACTCAATTCAAAACTTTTTTCAAAACTCATAACCAAACAAATTTTATACACTCAAATCATAAAAACTTTTTTCAAAACTCATAACCAAACAAATTTTATACACTCAAATCATAATTCTAAAACTCACAGACTCAAAATATAACTCTATTTTCAAATCATATTTACAAAATTCTACCAAACGCTACCTAGGGTTTTCAGGTCTAGCAAATGAGGACGGTGGAGACAAAGAAGGTTGATCTGGGGAGATGCAAGGAGATTTTTGTTGCGTAAATAGAAGCTCCCATTGGCTTCATGTCATCGACCTCAAAGGGTACCCTATCTTAACAAGAACCATAAGCCACAAAATCCTGTAAAGTCATCAAGGTCTTGGGCCTCTGTTCAAGGAGTGACTAAAGATTTACATTAGGTCTAGTAGTTGATAAATAATTTACTTAAACATCATAAGAAAGCCATGCTTAGCCAATGACGCGATAACTAGAACCACTACTTTACTATTAAACAGAACCAGCAAGCACAATAACCACCATAATGAAACTTATGGGGACGAGTTCAAAGGATCATGGATCATGTCTACCGTAAAAAAACAAGACTCAAAAAACATTATTTCTCACGTTGCATGATAAACATCATGAGAAAAGTATTCATGAAAAAAAAAAGTTGGAAAAAAAAACTCGCACAACAACTTCGTCAGTCAAAGCCTCCAAAGGAGCAATTCCTACGTTCAAGAGGCCCATCACACCGAAAATGCTTCTTAATTGTGTTTATATCAAAAGCTTCTCAATGGCATCCTGTATTCCACAAGAAAAAACTTAGAATGCAGAATAAAAAAGAAATAATAATAATAAGGGTGAATGTCAGATAAATGATACAAGTGAGAACTGTGCAAAAATGGCATAGCTCTTGCTTGCACCCCACTTGTACTCCCATTGATTTGCAATTTATTTTTTGTTTCCCATTTATCTCATATTTCCCCACAATAATAATAACAAGAACAAAAAGTGCGCACAAGGATATATTAGAAGGCAAGGTACCTTGAGTTGTTGTATTTGGGATTTCAATTGGCTTGCCTCATTGCTTGTCACAGAGCAAGCAATGACTGGTCTTGTGACTCCACATGCTCGACCAAGTGCTTGCTTTGAAGGGACAAAAACATAGGGCACATTCTGCCAAATGCAAATATAATATTCTGTATTAATATCAATATAAACAATTCTGAAACAGGACATAACTCAATTACCTAACTGTGGTCTCTCGAACAAAAAATTAAAATCATACCACCCAACTCTTTAAGTCACAAAAAGGATATGGTCACAAAACAGAATTGTTTTCAAGGTATTTAAAATGAAGAGGAAAAAATGACTCAAATTGTAATTCTTGAATAATTAAGATGAAGATGTTTAAACTTTCCAAGGAGTTTAGAGAAAAATTAAAATGGAATAAATAAATAAAATACTAGAACTCCAACTTGAATAAAATAATTTGCCCAAAAAAAAACTTACGAAGCATAGTGTGTAACTTTCTCCAATAGTAAGATTCAGGAAAAAATGCTCTCAATAAAAATTTTAACCACTAAAAAGGAAGAAGATAAAAAATTGTGGTTTGTTTGTTCAAAGTGAATAAGAATCCACAGAAAAGGAGGTGAGACAACCATTTTTTAACTGCCATGGACTGGATCAATGATACAAGAAATCTTGCTATATAAGCAATATTTTGTCAGTTAACTTAGAAAGATAAAAGGCAGATAACCTATATAGATCATTAACTCAATTTCCACTCAATGATACTCAAAGCTACCAAAGCAGAAATAGATAGAGAAAAAATGCAATTTACAATAATGAAAACCATTATGAATGTTGACTCAAGACCACAAGCACACAATTCAGACTATTCCTTGACATTTCTTAAGCAACCAATTTTCTAGCATGGAAGTCAATTTCATTATGCAACACATTCTAGAACTAAGATGTTGCAAATTTGAGTGTTGTCCAATAATGAAAATGTACAAGAAGCCAAATACCACCAATTAGCCATACATACAGATGAACTGGTCATGTTCGGTTTAAAATCAGTGAATTTATCGTTGCAACCCCGTTTGTGTTGAGAATAACCAGCTTCAACAGCGATTTCGCTTCATTCCGGTATAAAGAGGCGTGTATTTAGAACCCAAAATCAATTGAACACTAAACAACAAATAGCAATAAACACATACTCCGATCCTAACACATAAAAGGAAAGTCAAAACAGACAAGGGGAAGAGAATCCTATACCCCGATCCTAACACATAGGAACGACCCTTAAATAATAGCTAAAATCATATCAAATTACAAATAGATAAACCAATACAACCACTTTTCTGCACAATATCTAAAAAGACACAAGAAGGCATTCAAATTGGTCATCATCAGTTTCCCCCAAACCCATTTCCAATTTGTACACCAAGAATTACCAAATAGTAGAAGATAACAAAGAATTAGCAAATATTACCTTATCTTCAGCAAGAAGGGGAAGATGGAGGAGGATCTCAAGAGGCTCAGTGTCAGCGGCCATCACAACAAACTCAGAAATACCCCTGTTTAGGGTCTTAGTTGCTGCAAGAAAAAAAGAACAATTTAGAGGGGGTATGAGTCAAAGCACAACCAAAAATACAAAAGATTTGCATATTATAATATAATGTTTTTTTTTTTTTTTTTTTTGGGGGGGGGGGTGGGGGGTGTTTGTAACCTTCATTAGCACCCTTTTTGAGCTGCTTGTAGTTAGCAGCTTGTTGAACAAGGTCCATTATGGTAATAGTAAGCTGCGAATCGGCCAGTGGGTATGCTTTAGGGTTTACTGCTTCGCCTGTCTGCATATTCAACAACAAACAAACAAACAAATTCATACCCAACAAACATCATCTATTCTGCTTCTATACATGAAATTAAATTAAATGTAAAACTTGATACATAGAGATAGAGAGAGTACCATTGTTTTTGATAGAGAAGAGAGGAGAGGAGAGAGGCTAGGGTTTTCGGTTGAACAAAGATAGGGTTTATGAGCGAAGAAGGCACCAGAAGCCTCAGTTTATGCTAGTGTGCGTATATATATATGAGTCCTCAATTTGAGCATTCCACGACGTCGTTTGAGATCGAGGGTATACGACATTGCACACACCATGAAAGCCCAACGGCCCAACCAAACTATGGATCTACTATTCAAGCCCAACTACGTAATGGACCAGTTGGTCTACAGATTTTATTTTTGGGCTGAGCACAAAATTTTTAGATTTTGTTTGTTTCGAATTTTTAAACTAATCCACACTATTTGCTAAGTTCGAGCTCGGCACGTTTACTTATCGAGTTCGTTTATTAAGTTCGAGTTCGACTCAATAAGAAATTGGGTTCGAGCTCAGTTCAGCTCGTTAACATTAATAAAACTCGAGCTGAACTCGGCTCCTCTCTATAACTTTTTTTTTAATATTATTTAAATAAAAATATTTAAATAATAATATATAAATAGCATATTTATTATATAATTTAAATAAAGATAAACGAGCCAAACTTATTCGAACTCGAGTTCTACTCGTTTACTAAATGAGCTTAATATTCGAGCTTTAGCTCGGTTAGTTTACTAAATGAGCCGAGCTGAGCCAAGCCGAACTTGTTCATAAACAGTTCGGTTCATTTGTAACCCCAAGGTGTATATATAGATAGTTTGAAAATAAAATTATAAATTGCATGACAAATTAGTGAATTGATTGATTGATTGATAAATTGTGATTTAAGCGAATTTATGTGAATTTTAAAAAATATTTTAATCAATTATCAAGTCTTTACATAATATATAATATTTTTAATATATATGACACAAATTAATTTTATATAATATTTTTTATATAATTATTAATTTATAATAAATTTCACATATTAAATTTTTTTCTCACATATTTTTATTTTAATATTTTATTCTAAATTAAATATATATATATATATATATATTAACAGAACGATTTTAAAAACAAATTTTAAAAGACCGGTGACAGATTAAGCAATGTTTTATGTATTTGGAGCACAAAGGCGTTCTTTGGGTTTTCAGACCGAGAGATAGTGAGAGAGAGGAAAGAGAGAGAAAATGGGGTGGATCGGAGACGCAGTCGATTCCATCAAATCGCTACATATAAGACAAGTCTTCTCTCAAGCCATTAGTCTCGGTTCGTCTCTCTCTCTCTCTCTCTCTCTCTCTCTATATATATATAAATTTGTATGTATACTACAGTGAACCAATTCATGTCTAGCTCGTAAAATTGCTTTAATTGTTTATTGAAGTTGTTGAGCGAGAAACTCATTATCTTTATTCACAAATTCAATTGTAAGGTGTTCTGCAATGTCGTCAAGTTTGAATTAGGGCGTCATTTGCAAGACTTTTATTAATTCCCAATACCCAAAAACATTATTGAATTAGGGCATCACAGCTTGTTTGGTTCTAGTTTTTAGAAAACAGTTTCAGAAAATTTTACTTTTTTATTTTTTGTATTTTAATGTTTTCAATGAATTTTTTTAATATTTTAGGCAATTTTATTTAATTTTTAGACATACCTAACATAAATATACTTAAAATATATAATATTTATGAAGAAAAAAAAAAACTTTAAAAAGTACACTAAATACCAAAAATACAAAAAAAAAAAAGTATATTTTTCATATTTTTGTATATTTATTAATTTTTTAAAATATTTTTCACAAATATTTTACTATTTAGATACATCTAAGTAATGTGCATCTAAAAAAGTAAAAAAATTGCTTAAAATTTAAAAAATATTCACTAAAAATAAAAATAAAAAACACAAAAAACAAAAATTTTAATTTTCAGAAAACTGAAGCTAAATCTAATTAAAGAAAACTGGGGAAATTACAATTCAGTGGGTTTTTTAAAAAAAAAAAATATTTACAAATACATGAAAATGTTTAAAATTTTAATTATTAACATTTATAAAGTTTACCACTTAAGTATAATTTTTTTTCCCCACTAAATCTACCCAGAATTGTATTTTCCCCAAGAAGGTGATGTATATTTAGAGGGAGTGAAGTAGTACTCCAGTTGCTTAGGGGAGGTCTTGCTCATCAGCCAGTGCTGAAAGTGAACAGTTCTTTAAGCTCTATTAAGTTGCTAGAAAGCTCTTAATTAATTTTAAATCAACTCTTACATAGTATATTTACCTTTGCATATACAATTCCTTGTTCTAACATCTAATATTACCAATGCAATTTGTCAATAATTTGTTAGTTGTAAAAAAGAAATAAATTACACATCTAATATTACCAATGCAATTTGTCAATAATTTGTTAGTTGTAAAAAAGAAATAAATTACACACTATGGGATTGGTTCCTAAAAATTTTTAGTTGACAGAGATTATTAAATAGAGGCCATGACCTGGAGTGAATGCTGTACTATCTGCTCATTGCACCACATTTTAAAAAATATATATTTTCTTTCTATATTTATATTGGATCATTTGCCCTGAAATATCATTAAAAAAAACATGGTCCTCTTCAACTAATTCTTTCCTCCCTTTTTTGCTTTATATGAGTGTTTCTGGCTCTCTTCAAGTAATCCCCTCTTGTTCAATAATAGTTGTTATAATAACAAACAATGTCCCAATTAGTACACATTAATGTTTGTTTGGGAGGGAAAATATTAGGTACACGCCTAACCTTTGGCATAGTGTACAAAGCGGTTGCCCCTAGAGCTGCAAACAAGCTAAGCCGATCTGAGTTTTAGTATGTTTGGACTTGTTTATTAAGATTTTAACAAATTCAAGCTCGAGGTCAAGCTTAATAAAAATTTAACGAACCGAGCTCGAGCCGAGTTAGCGCAGGCTTTACTCGAGCTCCAGCCTGTTCACGAGTCTTAATGAATTAAAAAATTTATAAATTCGTACTTGCGTATAAGACTAAAGTTACAATTAAAATTTTAATTATACAATTATATATACAATTTATATAAACATTCTTAAAAACAAAGTCAATATTTTATCAAAATAATAATATCTACTACTACTATTATATAAATGTACTATCTATAGTTAACTATTATTTACATTTATATTTTTTAAATATATAAATAACATATTTATCTTATTTTTTGTACATATTTTTACATTATTTAATATATAAATAATAAATATTAAACTAGGTAGCTAACGAGCCAAGCTTTAGAATATTTGGGTTTGCTTATTAAAAATTTAACGAGTTCAAGCTTAAACGCAAAAAAAATTTAACGAACTGAGTTCGAACGAGCTCTTACCTAACCGAGTTCGAGCCTATTCACGAACAGCTTTATTCATTTGCAGCCTTGGTTGCCCCATGACGTGAACCCATAACCTCAAAGTTATAATGCAAGTTAATATTTTTGTGGTTATTTTTTTGCAATTATTTTAGGAAAGTGGTTTTGGATTTCTTTGTTTAATTTTATGTGACATGCATCTGTGCTCACCCAGCTAATATATATATATATATATATTGGATAAAAAAATGATTTAATAAAAATTTGTTGTTCACAATGTTTTTTAGGTATGATCGTTACATCAGCACTGATAATATGGAAAGGATTAATGTGTGTAACTGGTAGTGAATCACCTGTTGTTGTTGTGCTTTCTGGAAGTATGGAACCTGGCTTCAAAAGAGTGAGTACTTTTATAGATTAAGCACTTGCTGGTTCTGTTTCAGACCACTTGATCTTAGAGATTTCTTCAATCTGGTTTCAAATAGCTAGCCTGCAATTAATTTATGTTTCAAAAAGGTCACTTTTGTTGGGAGTCTAAGAAGCATGGACACGGACACGTGACACGACACGGATACGACACGGACACGCCGACACGATAATTTTCAAAAAATGTAGGACACGACACGCGGGGGACACGCATGAAATATATAATTTTATATATTTATTATATGTTATATATATGAATATATCATTCAAAAATAATAAAAAAATGCAATATGACATTAATCCCTATAAATTTATGTGATTTTTGTTTTATTATTGTATCTTAAGTTGTTTTGTTCAAACTTATAATTAGTTTCACATGTGTCTAATTGATAGGCATGTGTGTTTAAGAGATGGACACGTGTGTCCTCCAAGTGTCCATAGAGTGTCCGGGTCTTTAAAAGATAGGACACGTTATAAAGAGTGTCGGACACGTGTCGGGAAAGTGTCCAAAGAGTGTCGGTGTCCGACACGGACACGACACGGATACGTTACCTTTTTAGAAGTGTCCGTGCTTCTTAGTTGGGAGTAGTTTGTTGAAGGTAGATAATTGACACTTTGACAGTGGTTATGTATGTTTTGCACAGTATTTGTCTCGTGAGGCACTTTCTTCTGCCTTAAAAACTTTCACAAAGTAATTCTATACTGCCCAATTTAAACTCTAAATTGCCATTGGAAACATTGGGTACATGCGCTCCATTTACACCAAATTTGTTCCATTCCTTGGTCAATGCAACAGCATAATATGAGAGATTTGAGTTAGTGTGGTATCATTAGTTTGTGGCATGGCAGCATGTTGCAGCAAATTTGCATGAAACAATCAAATGTTGAATACTAATCTAACCTTTCTTTTTTTTTTTGGGTAAGCGTTTTATTACAAATCAGTGTAGAAGACCAAAAATAATAACAAACACACAGGGGATGCAACTTTTTCTGTGCAAAGAAACCACAGAAAAGTTGCATCTTTTCCACTTCCCACTGTCTTGTAATTTCCCCCTTTTTTTGGCAAGCATTTTATTACAACCCCCCCAAAACCCAAAAAAAGAAAAAAGAATTGGTTTCGTGTCATCTGTTTTCCCAACTTATTTCAGCTAAGTTACTTGATGCAAATTTATATACCCAACTTCTGTCTACTTTTTCCCTATATGATTGGATGACCTCATATTTTTGTTGCAGGGTGACATTTTGTTCTTGCATATGAGCAAGGATCCTATTCGTGCTGGAGAAATTGTTGTGTTTAATGTCGATGTAGGTTCCTTCTTTCAGGTCGCTTTGTTCATGTTTTAATATTTAATGTCTCTTAGTTATTTCATTTTGTCCTTTTTTTTTTCTTTTTTCATTTGACTACTATTATTAGAAAGGATGTTTTGCGGGCAATTTCTTTGTGACATGGGAAGGATTTTCTAGGGCCACACATTCAGCTGTTATAAAGTTCGTCAATCTTCAGTTTGTACCATTTGTTTGTGCTTTTGTGTGTTAGATCATCACTAGTCCCAAAAGCTTAAGTTGCTAGGAAATGGACCTAACAATGTATATCAAGTTATCTAACACCGTCTCTCACATGCAACCCCGTCTTGCATGTGGAGATGCAAACGAGAAACTGTTAAAATTTACCATCACCTACCACCACCTACTCCTCACCTACTCCTCACCTACTACACTCACCCTCTCCTCACCTACTCCTCACCTACTACATTCACCCTCTCCTATATAATGAGCCACTCACCATTTGTAATATACACAGAAATATAAATCAATAATATTTCAATTTTAACAGAAACAAATACAAATGGAGAGACTTGAACTCAAGATCTCCCCCAACACTTGTGCCATATTAGATCACCACTAATCCCAGAAGCTTAAACTGTTAAGAAATAGACCCGACAATGTATATCGAGCTATCTAACACTGTACATAATGGATTCATGGAATTACTCTAGAAATGCTAGCTCTAGAAATCAATTACTCTTCAACTCAACAATATAATTTGCTGACTATAATATGTTAAAAAATACAACTTATTCACCAAATAAAAGTCCCATTGACTTCCAAGTAGAATTATTTTTTCTGAGGCAAGAGTTGGCTTGTACCAACTTTTCAGTTTCTTGACAATCAAAATCTCATGGTCTGTGATCAAGAATGCCTCATGGAGGGATCTCACGTTGTAGCTTTTGATTTCAATTATTTATTGTGCCGTGTTATTCCTCACGTCTGGAATCAACTTTGTGTAAGTGTAGCAAACATTTAACTGAAAGCCAAAGTGCCTTGCTATAAGTGAAGAAATTCAGATAAATATCATATATCATGCACATCAATTAGATTATTTTTGTTCTTCTCTTCCAAATATTATTTCATGATTTTTTTTGTAGGTGGATTTGGATAGTTAATTTTTGCCCACACATACCATTTGATATGGGTACATGAATTTGTAGTACTTACTTAGTTTTTGATCTTATTGATATTGATTGTGTTTAAGCTTGATAATTTTTGCCCCTGTATACCATTTGATATGGTACATGAATTTGTAGTACGCATTTACAATATGATCTTATTGATATTGATTGTGCTGGTCTTTAATCTCTTTTACAAATTACCTTTTTCTCATTGTGTAGGGACGCAAAATTCCAATTGTCCATCGAGTAATTAAGGTAAGAAATTTTTTTAGATCCCTTTTTCTTTTGTCTAATTTATCACTGCTCATTTATTTCACCACAATCTGTAGTTTTTAGCATCATATATAGTGTCCTTGAAGAATATCATTTTCTTATTTACTTTAAGTTGCACTTATTTTCTTAGGTTGTGTTTGGATCATGGATTTGGATAGGGAAAAGGTGAGGAAAATGTGAATGAAATATAAGCTAGTGTTTTTCTCCATTTACGTTTCTCTTTCGAAGTCCCTAACCAAATTCATGATCCAAACATAGTGTTAGTCTACAAAAGAGGGGAATGCCCCGAAACTCAACAAATAACTCACCCACCTGAGTTCAACAATGAGAGTATAATTTCTGGACATATTATCTTTGTCTACACCAGGCTATTCTAATGACAGTTATTATTGAACTTATGCTGTTCTGCTGAATGTTGATAGTAAAACCAATTTGTAATATATATGTCGCAACCCGGTTTTGATGGAAGGGAAGAGAGGTGAAAGGCCCATCAAGGGATCCAAAGACTTCGAAAAGTTGCTTATCTTCAAAAATTCATCCCTATAGTGCGATGGACACTAACCCAACCTTTTTTATTTATTACATACGACCAACCCTAGCAAATCAAGAGCTTGCACATTTGGGGAAATACCCTAGGCACTAAGAGGAAAAACTAGAATACCTATACGTAGAAGCTACCTGACAATATAAAAACACCAGTTCACCAAGTTAGTATCCATTTGTTTGCATTGCCTGTTCATTCATTAATTTCTTTCTTCATTTTGAGAGAGAGAGAGAGAGAGAGTGAGATGAGTTCAGCTGCTTTTGCTCCAATGCAGCAGTTTTCTTCTTCTTGGGGTATCTTTATGTTTTTAATGCCATTTTGTTTTGTTTTGTAGGTTCATGAGCATGAGGATACTGGAGAAGTTGATGTTCTAACAAAAGGTACAACTGTAAAGTGTCCTATTGCAGCGTTAACAGGATTTCCATATACAGCACTAAATTTTAAAGGCTTTCAAGTTTTTCTATTGCCGTTGTTTTCCACCATTTTTTATTTAATTATTTAGGAAATGACCATTCATTTGTTGCACTAATTTTCTTCATCATTCTATCGGTCCACTTTGTCAGGGGATAATAATTTTGGGGATGACAGGCTTCTGTATGCTCATGGCCAGCTCTGGTTGCATCGACACCATATCATGGGGAGAGCTGTCGGGTAAATTGACATTATGAAGATAATCTTGATTTTTCTTCATTGGACAATAAGAAATGATTTTCATGATATAAATCATATAGCAGTACGGAGAGCTTATATTTCCTATAAGACCGTTGACGTATATTAACATTTCTTCATATTATTTGTGATTTAATTGATTAAATGTGTGTGCAACCAGTGCAATTAATTGACTCAAATTATTACTTGACTCAACCTAGAATGGGCTGCGGGATTACAACTTTTTCTTCCCATGCTTTCCGCAGGTTCTTACCTTACGTTGGTTGGGTTACAATTATCATGACTGAGAAACCTATCATCAAGGTTAGATTTCTTTAAAAAAATTCTGATGGTTCTGTGAACCATATTACTTAAAAAGAAGTCATAGGTGGATGCTCAAAAGTTGCTATAGCTCATATTTTTTTCTGTGCCTATGGCAGTTATGAGACCACTTTGGTTGACATATACCAAAAGAGTAGGGATGAGAATGCTATTACTAGGAATCCCATTACTATTTACTAGTAATAATATTCATGTGCCAACGTACTTCAAGCATTTGGTTTGGTTTAGGAATCCCCTATATGGGTATACAATTTTAAATTTTGTGAGTGCATCTATTTGTTTTATTCTTAAATGAGAATATGAGATTCCTGAAGGAATGTGGGAATAAGATTCCCTTCTGCTTTGGGAACTAAATTAGGACTAAAAATCTCATTCTTTGATGCACCCAAATAAAAAAGAGACTTGGAATGAGATTTTCATTCGGTCTCTTCATGCCATCCAAACAGGCTTGTATTAAATTCTTACTCATGTTAATGTGGTTTCTCTTGCAGTATCTGCTTATAGGTGCCCTTGGACTGTTGGTCATTACTTCAAAGGAGTAGGAAATCAGGTAATGCCTGGAGCTCAATAGAAACCATTTACAGCATCTTCTTCGTTTTTCCATTCTTTCTTCCATATTATGAGAAACCATTTGCATCTAAGCATTCCGGCCTGCCCTTGCATTTTGTAAACTGGTATTAGAAAATATTTATCAATGGACAATTCTCTCTCTCTCTCCCCACCTGTGTACGCTTGCACGCATGTTTTGAGCATTGTGCATGGACTGTCGTTTTGATTTTGTCGGCAATTGAGAACTATGCACACAAACATTCTTGGCCATGGGATGCTTGCTGAAACTACCCGACCCAAAATTGCTAGTGAATGTATAGATTACAGGCCTTCTAACCAAACTACAGGCTTGTTTAAAAAATAAAAAAATGAGTCTGCAGACTTGATTCCAGCACATTTTTAATAAAATGGTGTGAACTGAAAATATAAAACGAAGTAATATGTAAATAAAAGCTCCATACAAAATTAATCTGTCGTTCAACAATGGGTCATGACCGGGTTGGTGAGAAATTATGTAATATAATAATGTGCTGGTTTTATTGTGCATTGATGCACCTCATGCAAAAGAATTTTGTATGATTAGGTTAAATTATTGAATGATTAGGTTAAATCAACTTCTACCAATAGAGGTGGTAGTTCAACTCACACATTTGATTGATCCTTGTTTTGGAACAAGCTAATTTAATAACTTTTTGACTATTTGGCTAAAATATGAGCTAAAAAAAATAGTATGTTGGAGATGATTTTTTAGTTTTTTACGAAAAGATGTGCAAAAAGTAGAGAGAAAAGAGAATCATTGACTTTTTGGTATGAGTTGTTGACTTTTTGTCTAATTTAGTAACTTTTTGGCTAAAAATGAGGATTCCCAAACGAGGTTTAGTCAACTATACGTTTGATACATTTGATTGAATGATAATGTTAGGAATATCAAATTTTATACCAAACAAATGATTAAATGTCTTATATAGGTGTCAGGTCCATAATTTTTGTGGATTCAACACTCATATGAGATATTTGGTCATTTGTTTAGTAGAAAATTTGGAGTCTATACCATTTTTTTTTATTGATTTATTCAACTATAAAAATGTATTAATTTCACTCTTTATCACTTTCAAAAGGAAACATATTTTTAAAAAGATAGATTTTTATAATAGAGAATGGGTCAATATGTACAGGAGGTTCATAAATAGGGAGCCAGAGTCCATATGTGCAGGGGGGGTTGGGATTTCGGCCACTGGCTTCCTCTTTTTTTCTCTCTTTTTTTTTTTTTTTTTTGTCTTTTTGCTTAATAATATTAAAAGCTTGTCCTTCTAACCTTTTTCAGCATGGCCATCAGATTTGTCATCTCCCTGTTTCCATTGATCCAGCCTCATAAATTCGCCTCATTGCCTTCAGATCTACCTTTGGCCATCAATGTTGGCATCATCTCTCCCTCTTTTCGATCTTCCAAATCTGTTGTTTGGCTAGCGTCTAAACTTTCACTTTCGCGCTTAAAACTTTAAAATCTAGTTTTAGATTTTCTCACAATACGAAAATCGATGTTTAATGTGTTCATTTCACGCTAGGTGACCACCTCAACTCCAATGTTTCATCCTGATCAATGGAGTGGGGTTTTCAGATTTTAAGTTAAAGGTTGCATGCCTCATTGCCTTCAGATCTACCTTTGGCCATCAATGTTGGCATCATCTCTCCCTCTTTTCGATCTTCCAAATCTGTTGTTTGGCTAGCGTCTAAACTTTCACTTTCGCGCTTAAAACTTTAAAATCTAGTTTTAGATTTTCTCACAATGCGAAAATCGATGTTTAATGCGTTCATTTCACGCTAGGTGACCACCTCAACTCCAATGTTTCATCCTGATCAATGGAGTGGGGTTTTCAGATTTTAAGTTAAAGGTTGCAATGTAATGGAGTTTTGGATGTGTTTGACGACTTGAATTTGATTATTTTTTGTTTGCTTATTTTTTATTTTTTTTTTAATATTTGCTATAATAATCCTTCATGTGTAGAGATTATGTTGTGAGGATTGTCTCCTCCTCTATGGAGGTTATGATTTTTCTTCTTATGAAAGTTTGTTGTCTCTTTATGAGATCTTTTACTACCACTGTACAAAATTGATATGATTTTTTATTGATTTTGCAATGAAAATTTTCTTCTCAATCTAAAAATAAATAAATAAATACGGTAAAATGATATTTGCCATTAGTAGGCGTTTGGGCTTTATTTTTTTGTACCTTTTTATTTTTACAGTCGCTCACTTTTTGAAATTTTTTTTTTTAGATAAACTATCAATAGGTCTTATTTTTTAGATTTATTACCCATTAAGTCTTATTAATAAATTTATCAATCTCTCTTATTTTTATCAATAAATTTATAATAATAAATTTATCAGTCAAAACCTATAGGTAAATAATTCTAGTTAATACCCCTTTTATTATAAAGATGGGTAAATAAGCTGTTGACCTCCTGTGATTTACTCAAAAAAACATTAAACCCCTCTATAATTTCATTTGTAACACTTAAATTCCTTAAACTTTATACCACATTGTAATTTCTGATGGACCAAAAAAAAAAAAAGGAAAAAATAGAACAACAGGAACGAGAGATACAGAAAGCCAATCCAAAACTCAAAGTTCTTGAACTCAAAATCTACATTCAAACATGTGAACTCATTTTTAAAAATTAGAGAAAGTTGAAGCAAATTAACATACAACCATATATATACATATTCATATAAAGAGAAAGCTAAAGTAATATATATATATACATGTTCATATTGTTTGACATATATATGTATGTATCTTGGTTTGATTAAGGAAATTGAAATCAGAGCATACATACTGAAAATTGAGAAAATATTTTGAAAAAATTATTCTGAAATCTGGGATGAAAACGCAATTAAAAAAAATTGATAGATTCTTGGAAGTTTCAGGGTTGCTAGACAAAACCAGAAACTAAATCAATTAATCCAACCACCAAATTGCTGAAGCTTCTTTCAAAGTCAATTTCGCATTCAGTCAGATAATAGTTTTGAACAACCATATATATATAACACATTTTTACCCGGATACACCTCAATCGGTGTCTGGATTCCATCTCAAACTAGGCTCAAAATTGGCCAAAACTTGTGATTTTACAAACCATTTTCCAACACATAACTACACAACTAATCCATTTTACAAACCATTCTCCAACTATTCCATTTGAAATCAAAACTTACAATTCTTCAACCCAAAAAACAACTACACAACTTTCAATTGGGAAAAACCCCAAACACCCTACAAGTTACACCTCACTTGAGGTCAAGAGTTCAAGTCAGCCTAAAGACTACGGTCTCCAATGTTGCTCAAAAAATACATGCAGCTTGGGATAAAAGGTGAGCTTTTGGAAGAGACAATTCAGAATTAACTAGGAAAGTTACATCATCTTTTAAATGCTTTTCTACAAAAAAAACTACAATAATGCTAGGTAGCTCAAAATTTTGTGGCTCAAATCACTCAAAACGACATCGTTTTGACAGATTTTGAGTGTAAAACGACGTTGTTTTGACAGATTTGAGTCATTTGAGCCACAAAATTTTGAGCTACCAAACATTTTCCAAAAACCTATTTTGAGGTTTCCAGGAAGCAAACATATGACCAGCAATTTTCATGAAAACTTGATACTACTAAAACTAGAAAGCAATGCTGGGCAGCATATAATCAACATAAAAAGTAGTAATAAAAGTAAAAAAACAATTGTGTTCTCAAACCAAAACCAAGTATGAAATGGCTACTCATCTTGACCACAAAATTACAAACATAATAAAAAAAGCCCTAGATGGTTTGTCCACAAAAACTCAGCATGAAGATTGAAATCCGCTGTTCATTTGTCCCAGTTATTCAGCATCCGAAAATAATAATTGCAATTCTAACTGTACCAATTTTTCAAAGGGAGAAAGAGACAAGCGGGAACACACCTACTCAAAATTTGTCGTTGATTATATTTGAATGATCAGAGATGAAGCAAATGAACGATCAGAGATGAAGCAAATGAATCGATATCAATAATCAGCGTTCGCCACGAGGAGGAACCCTGGAAGAAGACCAAGTAGACCTTGGGCCACTGGCCGCACCAGAAAATGCAGGTCTACGATCATCGCTGCTGCGCCAGCTGTCACGGGGTGGAGCTGGGCGATCGTCTGGCCGACTGCTGCCCCATCGGTCAGGTTCTGCAGGTGTAGTAGCCTGCCCTGCACTCTCGACTTGCTCACGCCGGAACCGAGGAACGTATTTCGCGGGGGTTGGGGAGGGAGATGGTGCTGGTGCTGCTGCAGCTGCAGCTGCAGCAGCTGCTGGAGCAGCAGCTACAGGTTCCATTGGGCGGGCTCCGCCAGGGAGGTCAAAAGACCTTGGAGGCCCTTCAGTCGATCTTCCCAGGAGAGCTTCTCTCCTTGCCCTCTCTTTCTCTTCCAGTTCCCGCTCTCTCTGTCTCTGCTTTTCAGCAATCTCGTCCAACTTTGCCCTCCGCTCAGCTTCTTCTTTCTTCTTCCTTTCAGCTTCTGCATTTTTCAAAAAGAAAAAAAGAAAAAAAAAAAAGAATACATACTAAGAAACACATAAAAACAAAATTGCAACACGTGTCTATTCACAGTAATAAGATATACTTACAACCGGACATAAATTTAAACAAGGAATCATTAGACTAATCATGGTAAAAAACACAAAAGTAGGAAACATAATAGACAGGTTTGTCTGGAACAAGAAAGAGAGTAGAGTGTTTATCATAATTTAAAAATAAATAAATAATAAAGGTCAATTACACTTCCAACCCCTGTAATTTAATCAAAATTTCTATTTGGTCCTTATTGTTTTAATTTGAACAATTTGATCCCAAATTTAAAGTTCAGTATCAATTTGGTACTCTCATTCAAATTTGATGTTAAAAATTAATGATTTTGTAACACGTGTCGATCATCTAAAGCTGGAAGGATCAAATTGAAATTTGAGTCAAATGAGTGAAAAGTGTAATTTACCCTAATAATAAGTATCCTAACTTGGAAATTACTCAGACCAAAAACTCCATTTAAATCAGACTAGTTGGTTTTAAATTTTAATAAACCGTATGAAGAAACTAGCTGAATCTATATCTAAAACAAAAGTGGCATGCTACTTTATAGCAAGAATATATACATACCTTCACGCTTACGAGCTTCCTCTTCTTCGTGCACTTTTCTCAGCCTTTCCTCCTCTGTCCTCAAATAGAACAACATTTTCCTCTTATATTCCCTCTCTTGTCTCCGCTGCTGAAGAATTTGGTTGATCCGCTCCTCTCGCTCAGCTCTCAATCTGTCGTATTCTTCTTGCCGACAGTTCATGACCCTTTCCTGGAATTGTATCTGCCATAAAAATAAACAAAATAAATTTAAAAAATCACAAAACTAGAATTGTTCCAGAGGTTTTTTTTAAAAATAAAAAATAAAAAAAATGGTGCAGTACATCTGTGTAAACAGGCAGGAAATAAAGTTTTATCCACAACCATTGATTAAGATTTATGCAATTTTAAAATGTGGCATACCATTATTGGAATGCCAATTTAAATAATCTAGAAAATATTTTCAAAAATTCTACTGCAATACTACAGAAGGAATTTAACAGAAGTAAATAGCAAGGGATGGATATTGGATATGGCAAAGTGATAGCTTAAAAACCATACAGCAAAGATCTCTTCCCAGGATCAAGGTCCATCAAAAGTTTTCAGATCAAAACCCACTTTCCTGAACATGCTATAAATTCATATAAAGAGAAGGATTCAGGTGTTTTTTTGGTTTTTTTGGCAGCACAAGAAAAGTAACAGACTGTGTCTTGATGGTTCTCTTTCCTAAACTTCAAAAATATATATATACAATAACAAAAATTGTCAAAGCCAAAGCTACCTTTTGTTGCCACAATAATATATAGTGGAAAATCAAAATAAATGTAAAAAATGAATCAAAAACTATGGAATCTACTTTGTCACAAGTTCTGCTAATATCTGTTATTTTTTATACTTTTCAAACAAATCTCAACACAACCTTTTCAGTAAACACCCAACAAAATTTCTGCTGGAACTTGAGATAAAAACATTACAGCAACAAGCACCATATAAAATCAGAAAATCAGAAAGTGTTGCAAGTACTGACCTTATGCTCCAACATCCTTGACAGCCTATTTTTCTCCATAAGGTCTCCATCATGACGCTGCCGGCTCAGCTCAATCTCTTGCTGTAAAGTAGGCCACAGAAAGGTATCTTTAAGTACACATAACAGAGATCACAAATAATAATTGCAAACATCACAGCAAACTATAAGAATCAAATTGCAATTAGATATCAGAATATGTGAACATAAAAGGGTGGTTCCTAAAATATTCAAGAAACATAACATGAAGGTGGATTTTTCAAGAAAGGAAGTTCTTTCAACAATAATAAATCAAGAGTGAAGACTAGAACACTAATGTTACCTGTTGTTCTCGTTCATGAAGCACCTTTTCTTCCACCAGACGTTGTTCAAATGCAGCTTCAATTAAAGGTGCTGCCTCTTCTCTTTTTGCCCTTTCCAAGTAATCCAACGTTTTAGCTAGTTTTTGCAGTTTCTTCTCCATTTCATGTCTCTCCCGAAGTTGCTCATTCAGCGCTAACTCCATCAAAGATTGTTTTGTCACTTTTTCCTAGGTACACAAGCAAAAGTCAATTTTGTCCTTCCCAAACCTCACAAGAGAAAAGATGAAACCAAACTTAATACTCACTCCTTCTATGAGAGGCTTCTTTCCCTTCTTCTTACTACGCTTTTCAGCCTCTTGAAGTAGAGCTTGTGCTTCTTCAAGTTCACGCTCCTCTATTTCCCTAATGATCCTTTGGTTCTTTCTTTGCTCATACTCAGATGCTAGCCTCTTTTGTTCTGCTTCTTCAGTTATTTTCTGCAGCTTAAGCCTTTTTGATTCCTCCTCCCGCTCCTTTACAATGACAGGGTTCACCCAAAAATAAATAAAATAATTCTCACACTAGAATAAACTATCAAATGGCAGGGCATCTGCTGAGAGTATACAAATAAATACCATCTCCAATAGCTGGCGTTCTTGCTCTTCCTTGCGTTTCTCAATAATTGATTTCCGAGCAAGAAGCCTCTTGTGCTCTTTTTCAACAATCTCTGCTAAATCGGGCAGCATTTCACCTAGTCGTGATGCTTTCTTTACAGAAGGCAATATCATTGACCTTGCTTTATTTAAAGATTCAGCAAAAATCATCAGGTGATCACGCATCCCGTCCGATTCTAGACCCTGAAAGCAAAAACACCATCACCAATTCACAAAACCCAGGAAGGATTGTGGAGAAAACACAAGCAGCTCAGACAATGTGAGTAAACTGTATCTCAGAGAGACCAAGCAAGGAAAAATATGTTTCAGTAGATGGGAGATGAAACACAAACCCAAAACACGACCCACAAGACAAAAAGTTCAGCCACCAGTGCAGTCAATACACTACAATATATATTCTCTTTTTTGTGCCAAATATTAAGTGAAGATCGGTCCAAACCCTAAACAATATATGATGTCAAGAAAATCATATCTAGACAATAATTGATCAGCAAAGGTTACATAAAGAAGTTCTTGGAAAAAAATTAAAGTCTATGCTGCCCTCTTAGTCATAGTGTACACACCTCCATTCACAATCACAACCAAATTTGGAAACCAAATATCCCCCCGCCTCAAACAAAGGAGATCAAACATCGGAACCCAATCAACAATTATGAGGCAACGACACAAATACCAACTTTGCTTAAATGTCTGAGTTGCAATTATCAATCCAGATCAACCAGCTGCAATTGTAATTGCTAGGTCAATACCACAATCAACAAGAACGTATAGGACCAGAAAGCCTTCTATATATTTACACAGAAATTGCAGCAAAATAAGAAAAACATTCACAGATAATTTAGTTTTTCTCTGAAGTAACATTTGAGAAGGAAAAACTCAATAACTGTAGGGAAATGGAACTATGGAAAGTACAATGTGTTCCAAATTGAAATCAACAATTTGATGATAATCAAAGACAGAAAAGAGAACATCAAAATGATTTCCATATGTGGATAAGAATGAAACAACCAAACGTTAACTTCATTGCTACTACTATTCTGTGTATAGCATCAGCAAATGATAAAGTCACATTCAGCAAAGCAGACAGCAATATACACATAAAGGTACAAGAACTACTTACCGAGTTACCAAATGCAACAACACCCTTCATATGGTCAACTTTCATTGCAAGGAAATTATGTTTGACTGCATCGACAGAGATTTTCTCCACAGCAGAAAATTCAAAAAAGGTGATCATTTTAGATAAATTCTCTATCTTCATTGACTGATACACCTGAGACACCTGGAAAACAAGAAATGAAAAATATCAAGCACGATGAAAATAGTTTTTAGAAAATGCATAAAATTGGAAAAAAATAAGTAATGAAAATGAAACCTAGCACCTGTATACCTGCTGAAGCAATCTTAGAGTGGCAAGCTTTTCCAGCGTGGGAATGTATTGAGATAGATGGACCTCTGGTACAGAAGATGCCGAAGTAAGCTTACCCCCAAGTTTGGAAATTTTGGTTAACAAAGGCTGCACTTTTGATGCAAGATCTAGAGGGAGAAACTCATGCTCCAAAAGATGGTAAAGATCTTTTACTTCTTGAGTCACACAGGTCATTACACCTTTTGCAACCTGCCAAAATGTCATGATCAGACAATGCTGAAAAGAAATCAACATAAACAGTTTCCTCTTGAAGCATTTTTTTGCAACACAGTGCCAAACACCACCAAAGCTCCACATATCAAAATAACTCCTATTTTATGGCACTGATGAAGACACCTACCTACCTTGTATCCAACACATGCAACGATGCTCATATTTGGAACACGAATTGAAGGGGTTGGAAGATGGCAGGAAGAGAAGGTAGGGAGGCTTACACATTCAAAAGATATTAGTTGGTGGCAGAGAGCTAGATCTATTTGGCTAAAGGAGGTTGATACAAACACCAGTTTCTTTAACAGAATGGCTAATGCACAAAGAAAAGATAATCACATTAGCAGGTTGAGTGTTGATGGGAAAGTTTTGACTAGGGAGGAGGATATTTCTAAAACTATTGTGGAGTTCTATAGCAGGCTTGATTCTGAGCAAAATGTTGGGACCCTAATTGGTAAATTGGGGGTTAATATGCTATAGGAGAAGGACAGGAACTAGTTAAAAATACCATTTTCAGAGGAAGAAGTATTGAGGCTCCTCAATGATGACTAAGCTCCATGGCCAAGCAGTTCTGCATGCTTTTTTGGGACAAGAGTTTGAGATGCGTATGAATGCCTCCTCCATTACCCCATGTCAAATAAAGGGGTGGACATTCAAGATTAAGACCTATTAAATTGATTGACAGTGTCTATAAAATTATTGCCAGTGTTAGCATTGAGATTGAGGAAGGCAATTGCACAGCTCATCTCAGAATCCCATAGTGCTTTAATGCGAGGAAGAGTGATTCTTGTTGAGTTAGTGGCTAATAAGTGTGTTGATTCCAGACTTAAAACTATCAATCTGGCGATCATTTGCAAGTAAGATATTGAGAACCATTTTAAGTGAATTTTCAGACCCATTCACCTATGGAATGAGTATTACTCCAAGTAACCATAACCTATCCGCCATAACCACAGTTTGCCACGAGACCACAAACACCTTGGCCAGGGGTTGTGGCTGACAGGATCATAATATCACTAGCAACATATAGTTCTAATAAAAATAAGCACGTCAAGAGACATTCTATTAGTGAAATAAATGTGTATTTCCTGCACGCATTCAAAAAAGCATGCAATCAATATAAGAAAAAAAATTCAACTCACAACCCAAACCACAAAAAAAATAATAGAAAAAAAAAGAAGAAAAGAAGAAGAAGAAGAAGACCACCTCACTAATACAAAGAGGAGAGAGGATTATGATAGAGCAGATATCTTTGTGCTTACCAGTTCTGTGAGAAGAGATGACCGTGAAAGCTGTGGACAAAAAAAGGCAATCGTTCAGAATAAGAAAAATATATGTAGAAATTAACCTGAAAGCATACCCAATTGAACATTACCACTTCTCTACTCTCAAGTTTAGGGTCGATAATGAACCCTATAAGATTAGCCATCCTCAAATTCCGCTCTTTCTCATGTTCAAGCTCCAAATGAGATGCCCCACGCGTGTTGTCATATGGGGCAACTGAGAGAGCAGCCAAGACCACAGATGATGCAATTAATTGTAAATCTTTCTGACTCAAATTCTTGTTAAAGCTTTTCTGAAGTGAGAAAAGCTTAAACCATGCATAAGCATGATAAAGATGGCTGCCTGAAACCCAGAAAATTTCTGTTAGCTTCGCATAATAAACAACCATCAAGGAGGCCTTCGGGGTTTTCTTAACCATGCACATCAATCCATGTATATCTTCCACGGAACGAAAAGCTTCCTGCAGGAAACAAATAACATCCCAACAATGAGAGACATCAATAATTGGACTACCATGCATATCTACACTATGTAAAACCAAATATGCAGACCTGCCAGAGTTCAAGTTCGGTTGCAATCTTTAACTGCTCAAATCTTGTATCAAGATACAATTGCAAGCTTTCTGGAGCTGATAGATCAGGTCGGTCCCTCTGGTCTCTGTATTTATTAAGGTTGGCCAAATGATTCCTGATGATTTCACACAGCCTGCGAAACTCTGTTGTGCGTTTGTATTGCTTGCAGAACTGGAAGGCACGGTGTGCAGTCATCTACAGATAAAATTTGAAGTTCAGTACAGTCCACTAATTCTGTCATGTGATAAATTGATTGATTTCTACAACTCGACATGGCAGAAATGCTTTCTACATAACTGTAAGTCTCACTTCTATTATAGTATACAAGACGCTTCCAAGCCTCTGAGAAGCTTCCTCTCACTGTATAGACCCCAGCCAAAATGCATCTAAAACATCCGTTTGTCTAGCAAAGTGGTAACAGAAAACCGCAATAGCTCTACCCAGCACATTTCTGTAACACCTTAAAAGGCACTCCCCATTGGATTTCTATTTTTTTGTTCTTGTGCAAATGCTATTATGGGTTGCTTATCTTGCATCGTGTCCTTCTAAATATTGTCTACAACATCTGATTCATAATAAACCTATAAATATCTAAATTTCTATATATATACACATGAAATGAGTGCATAGATAAATGCCAGAAACTGGTATTCATTCTCTGACAATTATACAAAACATACTATAATATTTACGCTCCCGAAAAGCCCTTTCTAAATCATGTAAGAAGTTGGGTCCAATAAGATTTCTAGTAACTGAGTCCAGACAGTCAGTCTGCGGTCCAACCCCAAAAAACAAACAAACAAACAAAAAATTAAATAAAAAACTCGTTAGTTTTAACTGCTTAACAGGATTATCAAACATAAAGCCTTACTACTTTAAAACATCTCTGGATGTGAATAAATAACTAGGCACCTAGTCTCCCTAAACCTGCCATACAAATTCTGCATTTGAACCACCAAACCTCGTTTATATAATATATCTAGACAAGGTTAGATACATTGTCAAACTTCTATGCTTGCCCCAGTGTGCAACCCATTAACAAATGCAAATTTCAAAAACAAGTCAAGAGAGTGAGAATTACCGCATAAAGTGCCTCCAACTTCGAGTTGTTTCTCAAAATTTCCAGAACTGTCCTATAGGTCTCCCAAAGGAATTTAAACCACGGGGTCACAAGTTCACGATCGGACCTGTCCTTTCCCTTCTCACCACTTACATAACTTAACATTAGGTCCTCTGGCCTTTTATCAGCTTCTAGGTCATCAACATCAAGAGCTTCTTCTAAAGCTTGTGCCTGACTCCGAGCCATCTCAGCTCTCTCAGTAGATAGATGCATAAAATGCTTGATCACCTCCTCCAAAGAAGTTACATTCACTTGTTGACACACAATGCGATATTGAATTAAACCATCCTTGGCATATCTACCCCTTCGCATGTCAACACAGAGCTCTATGTACTTGAACATAATCCTCTCAAGTGTCTTCTGCCATGCTCTATGTCTCTTCGACGTGATAAGATCATGAAGCGCCTGCAGCGCATCTTGCTTCTGCCCAACATTGATCAGCTCTGCATCCAGACATCACCAAAGGTCAGCTAAATTTTCAAATAAATAAACATAAAACCAAACCAAAGATTAAATTAATGCTTGTTAACTAGAAGCACTAAGATTATCTAATTTGAATGTTGAAGGCCAAAAATAACAGCATTAATTCTGACCAGAATGCATTATCATAACCACAATGGTAGAGAATAGAGATGCAGTAGTTTAGATTGGAAATAGAGATCATTAACCCAGAAAAAATAAAAAGTTTCATAAGAAGAAATATGTCATTTACCTTCAGCGCGCTTCAAAGCATTCTCTGGTTTAGCAAAAGTCGCCATAACAATTGATCAAATCAATAATTCTTTAGATTTCTCAAGAGACAGCGCGCAACATCAAACCAACAATAACCTACAGTGCATTAGGAGATTATAGTCATGTTAGCCAAAAGAGAAACAAATAACAAGAAAAAGGAAGCTAAAAATATTGAATTACTATCAACCCAAAGCCAAAAACATCTTCAAGGAATGATTGATCTCGTCTCCACACTCTTCAAGCCCCATTCACTTGCTTATCGTAGAGGCTGTAAGTACATAGTGGGGCACAACTATGAATAGTATAGTGGGTTGAAACACAAGAGTGCCCGCCCCTTCTTTCAGGCAGGCCACTTTGTCCCCCCAAAAATCACATCAACCCACAAACTTCAAATAACTCATACATATATACAGTGATATCGAAGTGCTTTAGCTTAATGGCATCAAGAAACTGGTGCAACTGATCCTACTTCTCAAATTTGTGGCTCTGATCCACAATCAAAGACCTCGACAACGTCATGCAAGCCCAATTTCTTGCTGATACACGAGTTCGGAGCCAATGCAATGTGGCAGTGGGGGGAGATCGTTAACAATTGAGTCGAACACCAAACAACTTTTAAGTTAAGGCTTACTGTTCTTTTCTCCCCCCCCCCCCCCCCCAGTCTTGAATGGTTTATAAACAAATGTAACCAATATTTTTGAGGCCAGTATTTTCTTTCAAATTCATAAACTGCAATCCACAATTTATAAACAAAAAATTTTACAAAACATGTTTACGTGATATCCTTTTAAATTTTTGTAAATATATAATCAAAAAAATTGTAAACCCAAAGATAACCAAACAAACCCCTAAAGTCTGAATAAATATAAACAAAAAAACTAATCTTTTTGTAAATATTATCACCGTGTACAAATATGCTCCGACACCCGAAACGACTGTAGCTAAATACATAAATGTGGAGCCAAGAAAACAAAGCTAGTAGTCAGTGTTGGAAAATCCCCGAAAATGAGTAAAAATTTGATGAAAAGGTGAGTTCACGTGTGCGGTTACAATAAAATTTATAAAAAAAAAATCATCATTCAGATGTTTTTCTACAAATCGAACAAACCCTACCTTTCAATATCAAAAAACTCGACTCAATTATTTTCACATTCAAGAACAGAGATCTAGGGCTATCGGAATGAAACTGATTGAATTGATCTAGAACACAATTAATCGCGTGTATTCTGCAAGATCCGCGCAAATATATATATACATATATATAATCGTGAATTGCATGTCAAAATAGGTGACGCTGATTCATGTATACATCAATGAAGTTTTGATCATACCAGAAGATCCAAAGAATCAGAGAGAGATAGAGATATAGTGATGTAGAGAGAGAGCGAGTACCTGGAATTAGCAGCCGATCTTGTCGCGCAGAGAGCGAGAGAGACAGAGAGAGAGACAGTGAGTATCAGATAAAATGTAGGGTTTTAGGGGAAGATGAAACAATTTCGGGCCGAAATGGAAGCTTTTAAGAACCAGCCCACTGACCAATCAAGTTGTTTCAATTCTGTTCATGGGCCCAACTTTGTAAGTGCTATTTGGTCCCAAAAATTAGATCCAAAACTCAAAACCCAATTACATGGAAATCGAAAACTAGTATTTACTTAGGCCTCGTTTGGCAACAGGCCGGTTTAGTTAAAAAGTCAAAAAATTATTTTAAAAAGTTAAAAAGCCAACAACTCATACCAAAAAGTCAAAAATTCTCTTTTCTCTCTACTTTTTGCACATCTTTTCATAAAAAGCCGAAAAGTCATCCCAAACATACTAGTTTTTTTTAGCTCATATTTTAGTCAAATAGCCAAAAAGTTACTAAATTAGTCTGTTCCCAAACGAAGCCTTAGATATGAGTATGGTCCGGATTGATTTAGGGTAAAATCAAGATCAATTTGTTGTTTATGATTCTATAAAAATTAAAACCAAATTAATGTATTTAAATCATGGAATCAATCTGAATTAAACTATTTAAACACGGTTCAGCTCGGTTTGGAATCACAATTTTACATAATTTGTTCACAAACAAAATTATACAACATTTTCAATTCAACATTAATCTGCCCACGATTTTGCAAAATATAAACATGTATATTATTTCACAATTAATGTAAACAAACATAATATCTACTATACAAACATATTGTTCAACTTATAAGAAGAATAAAATTCCCATCAAACAATTATTATGTTTTTTCTTCTCTTGATTCTGAGGAGACTTAGGATAGTTTGCAATATATTTTCTCAATGTGTTAGTTTCATTTGCACTAACGCAAGCATAAGAAGATTTACAATGGCTATATTCAACGCATGCATCAGTATTATTGGTTTCTTTATGTATTTTAAGTTATCTATGGTCTAGATCAATTATAATTCGGAATTGTGAACTCCAATTCAAAACCGATTTGCGAAAAATGGATTCATATTTTTTGCAATCAAGAACTGAAGCATGAATTCAAAAAACTAATTCAAGCCTACTAGATTGGACCAAATCAATTTGGATTACAGATTCTTCGGATTCATTACTCATCCCTAGTATTTATTTTGTTAATTTTTTTTAAAACATGGGTAAATTACCGGTAAATCCTATGGAATGGACTTAAAAACCGATAAGTTTTGTTATTTTTTTAATACATCAATAAGTCTTAAAATACTTACTTTGCCTTAACACCTCTTTTAAAATATATTTAAGTGAAAAAATGAACATGACTTATATGGAAATAAGTTTGGTTAATAGAATTTGCCTGTAAATTCTCCTAAAATTTAACACTTGTATGAAATATAATATAATGGAGCCCGAACTCCAAATAGTGACATTGAGAAGGCAATTAGGGAAGTGAGGAACAGAAATATCAGTAATCGATGAGTCGTTTGGCAATAACTTTTTTAATGAGTAGGTACAATAATGATGGCAACAATGTAGACAAAAAGTTAGGAGAATTACAGATTAAAAATAGACGGGGGGATAAATCAGATCTTAGAGGATAGAGAGTTTATCTTTTTATTAATTTTAATAAATATAGGGTGTGTTTCACAAGGTACTTTTTTTTTTTTTTTTTCTTTTTCTCATTGACTTCTTTAACCAAAATCTCAATTTGATGGCTATACGTTCATTCATCCTATTTATAAAACATTCACTTTATACAAAAATGTGTTTATACTATTTTCACTGTTTATATAATTTTTATAGTTCATTGATAATGGCATTTTTATAGTTATGAATAATTTGTTTTGTCTTTACATGTTTTATAAAATTCGTTTGATATATATTCTAAAAAATTGAAGTTCATGTTTATGCATTTTCTTGAAATACTTGCATAAGCAAAATAAATTTTTATTTATTAGATAGTTTAGATATAGTGATTAAAATTTAGATTAGAACTGATTTTGAGGAACACAGTCCTAAAGCAAATCTCTCTTCTGTCTTGTTCTCTGTTTTTTTTGAAATCCGGTTACCATTTAATGGCCAGATTTAGGAAGATTAAATTTTAGCTTAAAAAAATTAAATAAATTTGTTAAATAGTCAAAAAAATATACATATAAAGTCAAATATTCTTTCAATTCTCTTTACATTTCTGTCCTTCTTTTTTTCTTTTTCTTTTTTTTTACTTTTTTTTTGGGAGGGGAAGTAAAAGGTCAAAGTAATTCCCAAACACTTTAGTATTTTGTACATCGTATTTTAATTAAAAATATATATATCACTCCTCAAAACCAACCCTTATTTCATCCCTCAATTTAATGGCTACGAGTTTTGAGTATGGTTATGTATCCTAGATAACTCGACCATGGTATATATGGTTTAAATTAGTATTAGCAGTAGACTTATTTTGGAAAGTAGATTAGAAATTGATTTTGTAAATTTTTTTGAAAGAATGTATGAAATAGTAAAGAATTAATATAAAAAAAAAAATCTAAATACCATATTTTTTACTTTTAATTCAATTGTCAAAATTGTCAAAATAGGTCGTAATCCATTATGGACACGGTTGTCTAAGTCCAAGGGTTAGTTTGGTAATTGTCCTTCTAACAAATTTGTGTTGCATGCCCTTTTCTTTTCCTCAATAATTTTAAAATTTCTCTGGTTACAATATATAAAAAAATATTTTTCATTTAAAATCTTTTTCTTATTTTTAGTGTTTGGCTGTTGTTTGTAAAATATTTTCGCAAGACTCAAATTGCACTGTCTCTAACTTGCAATTGGTTGTGGACATTGAACTAGGAGAACCAGTCACTTAGGCTGCCGCAAACCAATGCAGGTTGCGCCGACCATGGTTTTCCCAACAGTTGAGAGGTGTCTTGCGGGTTAGCCCAAAGGCTTCGTTTGGGAAGCCTTGGTTTTTTTTTTTTTTTTTTTGACTATTTTAATCATAAAAAATAAAATATATTTTTTTAATTCAATAAGACAAAACATCACATTTAATCTATAATTATTACATTATTTTTCTTATAAAAAAGTTTTAAAAACTAAAAATCTTTCTCAAACCAAGTTTTTTAGTCTCATACTAAAATAGCTAAAAAAAATAAAAAACCAACCCATTTCCCAAACGGAGGCAAAATGACTCCGGAATTTTGGAACGGAAGTCATTTTTGGGCTTTTAATGAAAGTTTTTTTTTCTTCTTTTTATGAAAGTTTTTTTTTTGGTTAAAAAAATATTTTATTCACTTGTGTCCAATCAAACAAATACAAATGAGTAAAATATTTGATGGCAAAACAAACGGAATCTTTAACATTATTGCTTGGTTAGAGTTTTCTAAAAATATTTTTTTAAAAATTATACTTTATTGTTTTTTGTATTTTTTTTGTTTTTACTAAATTTTTTTAATATTTTAAGCAATTTTTTTTTATAATTTTTTTAGACATACCTAACATGAATGTACCTAAAAAGTAAAAAATTGTGAAAAAAAATATTTTAAAAATTCACTAAATACCAAAAATACAAAAAAATCAATTTATGAGAATTCAGTACATTTTTATGTATTTATTAATTTTTTAAAATATTTTTTCACAAATTTTTTACTTTTTAGATACATCTAAGTAAAGTGCATAAAAAAAGTAAAAAAAATGTTTAAAATATTAAAAATATTAACTAAAACAAAAAAAAAACACAAAAATCAAAAAACTCAATTTTCAAAAAACTTAATCTAAAAAACTCAAATCAAACACACTAAATATTATTGGTTGCGTTTGGTAAAGTTTTGTAAATATGATTTGAAAGTATGAGTTGTATTTTGAGTTTGTGAGCTGTTGAATTATGATTTGAGTGCAGAAAAATTGTTTGGTTATGATTTTTGAATTGAGTTTTGAATTGTATGTGGAATTGAGTTTTGAAAGTTTGACTTGACAAATGAGGTTAGAAAATTTGTTTAGTTATGAATTTTGGAAAGAGTTTTCAAAACTTAATTCAAATTGTTATAACTCATAACAAAACACACTATTTTCACACTGTTGAAAATTCTGATCAACACTTATAACCAAACTCTTTTTAAAATTCAATTAAAAAAATTTATTATTAACAGAAAATAACATTAATCAATTTTTTAATTGAAAATACTACAAAGGAAATAATTTTTTTTTCAAAATCGTAACATATTTAAATATTAAAATATTTTAAATATTTTAAAAAATTAAAATATTTATTTAAATTGAGTTTTAAAAAGAGTTTTAAATTATGTGTTTGATTATGAGTTTTGAAAAGTAATGATTATGTTTTGAATTGAGTTTTGAGAAATGAGTGTAGAATTATGATTTGAAAACTCAAAATAAACACCACACTCAAATCAATGGGTGGAACTATAATTTGAAAGGCTTACCAAACGAAGCCATTCAGTGTATTTGATTTGAGTTTTTTGAATTAAATTTTTTGAAAACTGACTTTTTTGATTTTCGTGTTTTTTTGTTTTTAGTGAATTTTTTTTAAATTTTAAACATTTTTTTTTTACTTTTTTAGATGCATCTAAAATCTAAAAAAGTAAAAAATTTGTGAAAAAATATTTTAAAAAATTAATAAATATATAAAAATACAAAAAAATGTACTGAATTCTTATATTTTTTGTATTTTTGGTATTTAGTGAATTTTTAAAAGATTTTTTTATAATTTTTTTACTTTTTAGGTGTATTTATGTTACGTGTGTCTAAAAAGTAAAAAAAATATTGAAAATATTAAAAAAATTCAGTAAAAATAGAAAATATGAAAAACAAAAAAATAAAATTTTTTGAAAAGTAAAAACAAACAAATTGATTATTTTTTTTACTTTTTGATCTTTAAAGTCAAATCACTAATGTTTACGGTCCAACAGAATTACCATTCTCTTTGCGTACGAGAGATTTGAGAATTTGACTCTCACCAAATGTGCGAGTTGGGTGGAATGATGGCTCATTTAGGAATTGTTGGGTATGTATTAAATAAGTATATTTTTTAATTTTTTATTAAATATAGATTGAATTTGAAGTGATATAATAGAAAAGTATTGTGACTTAAATAAGATGATATAATTTAAATAT